AAAGCCAAAAGATGGCTAAGTTGATGACATTGAATGTTAATGGCTTGAACTCACCACAAAAAAGAAAGAAAATATTTCATTATTTGAAACAACATAAAAATGATATTATATGTTTGCAAGAAACGCATATTACGTTAAAAGATCAAAAGTATCTGATCAATTCTAGATTGGGACTCCACTTTATTGCCCCGGCACCAAGGAAAAAAGCTGGTGTAGTTCTTTATGCTAAGAAAGAATTATTGCCAAAACTAATTGACTTTGATAAAGAAGGAAGATTTGTACTTGTTGAACTTTTATTGAATGGCAAAAAATCCCTTATTGTTGGCTTATATGCACCTAATCAATATCAGCAGCAGAAACAATTTTATAAACTTTTACATCAAAAGATAACTCAATTGGATTATAAATCTGTCATTATGATGGGAGACTGGAATGGTGTTATAGATCCCAAGAAAGATAAAAAGTCTTATTCTAAAGTGTCGACTCAAGTTAAACTGCCTAAAAGTTTTTTTGCATTACAAGAGGATTTGGAGTTAAGAGACATTTGGCGAGACCGGAATATAGGAGAAAGCGATTTCACCTATTTTTCAGATAGACATCACTCTCATTCTAGAATTGACTTCATTTTGATTACTAATGATTTACTCCCCAGGGTTAAGAAAGTGAAGATTTTTTCTAGGATTTTATCAGATCATAGCCCTTTGTGGATGGAACTCTCAACTGAAGGAGGAAGTAAAAGGACTTGGAGATTGAATGAAAATTTATTAAAACATGAATCTAACGTGCAGATACTTAAAGATTATTTAAAAGATTTTTTTATGCTGAACATGAATAAGGGCACTTCTATGTCAATGGTGTGGGATGCCAGTAAGGCTTTTATGAGAGGTGCCCTAATTTCAATNCATCCTTCCTCAGAGAAATAGCCATCCCGGGTCTATATTCCTACAAGACATTATAGAGGAAGTACTCAAAACCTACAAGATTAACACACACACCCCCAAAGACATATAATTGCACTATTTGTTTGCATGTCTTCATTCAGACAACACTTTGCCAAATATTTTTGAAGGGGATACAGCTGTAAATAGATAGGGAATGCACCATCATTGTAACATTTGATTGGATTAAGGCTTCCATTGTTCTCTTGACATTCTGTTACTGAGAATTTATTTCATTGCATTTTTCAGCACTGCAAATCTACACTTTTTTTTCTTTGAGTTAATAACTGCAACAGCATTTTGATTTTTGAACTGTCAGGTGCAATTGCAAGGAGCGCATGATGAGCAACATCATGTTATTGAGTTAAATGATATGCAAATACAAACAACTGATGCTTTGAAAGTTAGCCTGATGAAGTTAACATCTTGGTGGAATACTATGGTATTCTGTGGAAATTAAATCTAAAGGAGGGACACTGGATTTTATATTTTCAAGAGAAAAAGTCACTTTAAGGTAATTTACATTTAATTTACACTCAAAAACTATTCAGAAATGTTTTCAATACATTCCAGTCCTGTACTTCCACAATTATCTCTCAAGAGTGTGGAATGGAGAAGTGCAGGTCTCTACTTCTTGGAAAGTAAAGAGCCAAACTGAGACACATTTCTGGGGAAAGAACAAGTAACTGCTTCATCAGTTACTACCCCATATCTCCCAGTTCCTATATAGCAAATTTTATCTTCCCCGATAGGTTTGTCAACAAAAGGAAGATTTTTAAAAAAGTATTTCCTCCTTGAAGAATCATGTTTACAAAGATAAAGTCAATAATTCAGACTGAAATTGTGACCCCAAATACACTGCCATTAATTCAGTTTTAATTAAATTCTAATGAATGATGCACCTGGTTTATCAGTGGAGCTGTCAAGTGTCTGAGTAACGAAACACTTAAAAGGACTTTCAGGCATGTTTTCTCCTAAAAGCATTTATTAAGATTACAATACGTCAGCACAGCCTGGTGGAATGCTTAGATCTGCTTCTCTTCCGTTAGGCATAACATACTAACCATTTTCCACTTCCTTATTTTAGGGTCATGGTTCACATCTTCCAATCAACTTGGAAGATGTGATTTACTTCCGGTTTCTTTCTCCTGGGCTATCCTTATGCTCCTCCCCCTTTCCTGGTTGCTGGTTTAACTATATAAATACCAGACAGTTCTGCACATTGTCAAAGCAAGAATATACAGTATTTGCAGCGTTGACATCCGGCCCCCCTTACAAAAAAA